AAATATTGAGCTAATAAAGTTACCATCCGGTGACATATGTCGTGATTTTATTTACGTTTATAGAAACGTCTCATAGTAAACTCCAGTTTGTGTTAAACAAAGTTAAGAATAATAATGTCTGTTGTGTATTGCTTAAACCTTTCTTAGTTAAAACACTCATTAAATGTTTACAGATAGAGCAGTTTATGTACTTTAAGAAAAGAATGTGCAACAGCGAAATACTTATCAATACTTCTTGACACAACAATACTTCCAATACATTATGTGTGAAACCATAGCATGTAAACTCTCACTGTTTCAGGAAAGAACGAGGATTCTAATATGTTACATAATCCTTCAGAACCACAACAGATTAAATATTTCCAAACAAAATAAGGTCTCCAATGTATTAAACAAGCCTTAATTACAAATAAGGAATATGTTTACAGACAAAACAAGCTTTCTAATACTATGTATAAATATCATCTAGTACCAAAACACAAAATATTTCCTGACAAGAAGGTGTGTGTAAATTTGTTGTAAAACAACCTTCAGTACTAAGATGTAACGTGAACGTTCCCGCAAATCAAAATATCTCTATGCACCATCAATGTAAAAAACAGTGATAGAATGTTTCCTAACAGAATACGGTCTGTATTTAAAAGCAGAAACAACATTCAGCAACAAAATACTAACAAATGTTTCTTGACAGAGCATAGTCTCTAATGTGTCATATAAGCCTTCAGTTCCAAAACACAGTGTTTCAAATAAAAACAGTGTCATGATATCATATCAGGTAACAAATAACCCCAACTTGCCTTAATACCTTATGTCAGTTGATTTTAGACATTTCACACCTACTTCATAACAATAGGGAAAATGGGGAATTTTTACTCACCATGTATATATAAAGCAAGGTTGTGTCTGTCTGGTGTCTTGATGTAAAACATTATGAGAAACTGATTTAATAATCTTTAACAAAATTTGAGAGGAACCCCTAAATATCAAGTTTAAATAAATAAGCAATGAGATGAATATTGAGTTTGACAGCCAATTTGCCCCCCATTGGCATAGCGGTATGTCTGCGGACTTACAACGCCAGAATCTGGGGTTCGATAACCGTGGTGGGCAGAGCACAGATATCCCATTGTGTAGCTTTGTGCTCAATTACAAACAAACAAACAGCCAATTTAATTTTTACTACTTCAAGCCAATGTCAAATGAAAGTGCCATTTAATGCCTTGTTTTTGCACAGGTACCTTTGGTCATTGTCAGTACTCTGTAGACTTGCATGACACATAACACACATGCGCACCATCCTATTATCCCTGTAAAGCCAACAATGTAAGTGCCACATGAGGCATGGGTACATTTGCTAGTGTGTATATCAATTTTCAGTACCAAAACAGTGAGTAAAGGTTTCCAAAGAGGACAAGGTTTCCAATGTATTACATAAGTAATCTTTAGCACCAAAACACTGATTAAGTATTTCTAAACAAAACAAAGTCCCAAACGTATTACTTTCAGTACAAAACTGACTAAATGGAGGTTGTAGAAGGTTTCTAATATATCACATAAGCCTTCAGTACCAAAACAATGAGTAAAGCCCCCCAGTGACACAGCAGTATGTCTGCGGACTTACAACGCTAGAAAAGGGGTTTCGATACCCGTGATTTATTACAAACAAACAATGTTTCTAATGTATGACATATATAATTTTCAGTCCTAATACCCCAAAATTCAACATTACCACAAATATAATGCTCTGCAAGTTTAGAAGAACCGGAACAGAATCACCCCTAAAGGTCTCCGACTAAAATCCAATATTAATACCATAAAACTTAAAATAATAATTCAACGAGCTGAAGAAGCCATTCTTCGTGAAAAACTGACCTTTAGTAAAACGAAAACTCAACACCTAGAAATAAAATTCCAGGATATTGGTGAGCAAATCCTTGGTTTCTGTTGAAAGTTTTCATAACATTGACAGAATTACACATACAAGAACTGAGCATGAATTTAACAAAGTAAAAGAGAGACAAATCAATAAAATCAAAACTCTAGTGAGAGCAAACGTTATATCATTCCACACTAAAAATAAAACAGCGTGACGTCAAACTGAGTGATAAGGTTTGACTAGTTGTGAATAAAGTGTTTTATCGTTAGGTTTATGTTTTGCTCAAACTCCTAACAGTGTACTCTACTCGGATATTATTGTTACTACACAAGAAGTTATCAGTCGTTTAGAAGAACCTGCTACAACTAAAGTTTGTTTTAAAATCAAGAAACTATTAAGAAGTTTTTAGACGCAACGTAAAACCCGTAAAGAACATCAGTCTCTAAGAACGTAAAACTCTTCGCAACCTTAAACAATATTGTGATTTGGCCAGCTGACAAAGGTAACTCTACTGTCCTTTTAAACAAAGATTATGAAAAGAAGGTAACCGATTTATTATCTGACCCTGAATACATACTCTTAAAATCACACCCTACTAAAAAAAAACTATGAAGGAACTAAAATTTCTTACACAACTTATGAGAGCAGGAGAAAATAGGAATGATGCGTATCCACGGTTTATCTTCTCATGATTGTTCTCCCACGCTTTACGGTCTTCCAAAAATTCACAAGCCTGACATACCTCTAATGTATGCTATATTGATTCCCTATGTATAACTGCAAAATATTTGTCTAAGATTTTGAAACCTTCAGCTGGAAATTCCGAATACTTCTTAAGAAACTCAACAGTTTGTTGAAATTATTAGAGACAAAGATGTTAATAATGATGACATTCTTGTTAGTTTTGATGTGGTATCCCTGTTCACGAGAGTTTCTCTCTCTGATATTATTAGTATTACAGAAAATTTACTAAACAAAGATGTCTCACTTCCTGAAACCCCCCAGTGGTACAACAGTATGTCTGCGAACTTACAATCTTGAAACCGGGTGGGTAGCGCACAACTAGCCCATTGTGTAGTTTTGTAGTTAACTTCAAACAAACACTTCCTGACAGAACAATAATCTCAATTAAGAACATTATCAAACTTCGTTGTTTTTTGTTGATACTCCAAATAAGTTACTTAATGCAAGATTGTTCTTCCTCGAATTTGTGCTAATTTAGTAGATTAGGCTTAAGGACCAAGTTCTTGTTCACAATATACACAAGGACCTAGTTTCCTGGAATTACTGATTGTTATTTTCACAAAAGAGCTCTCTATGTGTTAGATTAATAATCTTCAGTGCATAGACAGCGTGTAATTCTGTTCTTATAGAACAATGTTGCTAATGTATTATATAAATAACCTTCATTTACCAAAACATAATCTATAACCTTGAGCACCAACATTCCTTGAGCAAACAAGGTCTCTATTGTAGTGCAGAAACATCCTTCAGCACAAAAGTTCTAACTGATAGAACAAGGCCTGTATTGCAACACAAAAACGGTCTAGAATACTATGACACTAAATCAAAGATAATTATATTGTCATTATGTGAAAAGCAAAATACATCGGTAAAACGAACCATCGATTTGGAAAACCCTGTAAATTAAAAAAAAACTAGATACTTACTTACTCTTTCGAAGCTTTTAAGAGAAAATCTCTCAAATGATTTTCCACTGCCCATTCAGCACAAAATCAAGTATTCTTTATGTGTTGCCTAAAACTTTCTGTTCCATGACCAAAACTTTTCCCTTAATTTCTAAAATCATTCCCATAATATTTGGACAAATATTCACCTCTCATCTGAGCGAGACTAAGCCAAAAATAAATTACAAAAGCATTCACTTTGAAATTATCTAACCTGTAAATGATTTATAAAAGTATTGTTGCGTCATCGAGGTCACGTGACTGGTGTGGCGCCGCCTGTTTTCTAGAACTGTCCTGTACCTTGGCGAATGCTCTAGTATTTACTAGATATAGGGTAGCTGGTATATAAAAGAGGGTGACAACGTGACGGAATGTAATGTGTGTGTAGATAGTGAGTAATTGTACTGCAGTCAGAAGTATTATTGACGTTGGTTGATATAGCGTTTGTTTTATCGCGATTGTTGAAAATAAGTGTATCGTAAAGTTGTATTCGGAAAGAATAAACCAGTTTCTTTAAGTAAGGACTTGTGTCGCTAAAGTTTCGTCGGAAGGAAGTTACGGAAAATTAATTAACAAACGGATACGTAACAATATAATACGTAGTAATCGTGGTTAATCGTAAGTTGTACTCGTATAGTGCGTAGTAATCGTGGTTAACCGTAAGTTGTACTCATATAATACGTAGTAATCGTGGTTAACCGTAAGTTGTACTCGATTGGCATGTAGTAACCGTGTTTAACCGGACGTTATACTCGTATAGCATGTAGTAACCGTATTTCCTCCTGAAGTTGTATTCGTATAACATGTAGTAACCGTGTTTCCTCCGGAAGTTGTACTCGTTAGCATGTAGTAACTGTGGTTAACCGGGAATTATACTCCATTGGTAAGTAGTAAACGTGGTTAACTGGAAGCTGTACTAACTATGGTTAACTAAAAGCTGTACTCGTATAGTACGCAGTGACATTGGGACTTTCGGTTTTTTAAAGTTTAAACAACTGTTAGTAATCATTATATACGTTTCCTATCACCAACTAGTTTTGTTCTATAAGAAAGACGATTGTTCCACTTAGCCTTTCGTCTTTACCCTGCAATAGGTTTCGGCTATGCTTCCTTGTCTGACTTCACTAATCATGAAAACAGTAAGGACCCCAAGAACACAGGTTAATGAAATGAGAGATCAAAGTTTGGAGAGAACAAATATACTAACTACAAAAAGTAGAACGTTATAAAAACACATGTACTTCGTAGATTTGTTAATTTTTACTGAAAAAAGTAAAAAGTTGTTATTAGAAGACAAGTGACAGGACTGTAGCTATAATAAATACGAAACAAGTTTGTAAAAAATTTAAATGTTTGAATTTCTTGAAACGAATTCTACAGTTTATCTTCTTCAATGTAGAGGGCAGCAGTGTATGGAAGAGGAATATATAGAAGCAATGTTATTAAAAACACGTTTGGTTTTGTTTTCGCCATTGGTAATATTCTTTTTCATCTCTTATAAAGGTAAGAAGATTCAACTGCTTATCTTGAGAAATTATATGATTAATTAAGAAAAATAAGAAAACCTAAATCTTAAAATGTATACGATAAGAGAGAGTTATAAATATGTACTACCGGCACTTGTGTTTAATTTTTTTTAAATTATAATAAATGATTAAAAACAACGTTTTTATATTTAAACAATAAAAACTTTATTGAAACCGTACGGCTTCCACTTTAAAATATCACTCTACAAGTACATGTTTCGACATGATCTACGTCATCCTCAGGAGTAACTTACAAGACTATTTTATACTTTCTCCTTGTCACATTACTTCATTGTTATTTGCATATTTCCTTAGCGTAATTGGAAAACAAAATTATAATATATTTCGCCATATATCAATGTATTGACTTGCTGGTCCTTCGTCTCTATTTAAAACTTGTTTATATATAGATATATATATATTCCATTATTTCTAATGTTTCTAAACATAAAACGTTATTATAATTTTTTATATCCTGTTTATTTTTACAGTATATTTCACTTGGGGATGTAAATCTTCTTAACGTAATTTCTTTTTACAGAAACAAAGATTAGTTACTTCTTCTCATCTCGTAGCAGAAGAACAAGATAATATATAGTGTAAAACGACAATTTTAGTGTATATATACATTGTTTATCAATTATATATAAAGTAAATACTACAACCATCTTCCTAACGTAAAGTTTACACACGACAGTAAGAGTCCATTCCTATAATAACTCTTCCATCACATTCAACTATTCCTTCGCAGCTCTGCTGCTTCTGGAACAAGGACAGAAACTCCCAACAATATTTATTATAACACCAACTTACCACCGGCCTGTGCAGCAGCCAGAGTTAATCCGGCTGTCGCAAACCCTAAAGCTGGTTTCCAACGTACATTGGATTGTAGTGGAAGACGCTGCGCAAAAGACCGAACGACTGCGCCATCTGTTGGAAAGAACTGGCATTGCCTACACGCACCTTGCAACTGGAAACAAACAGACAGCGTGTAGCGGGACCGAGAGGCCTGGTAGAGGCGTCACAAATCGAGAGGTCGGTCTCGCGTGGCTGCGGCAGAATGCTAAAGATGGAGTAGTGTTCTTTGCTGATGACGATAACTCTTATGACCTTCGGCTTTTTGATGAGGTTGGCTATTCACAATTTTGCCTCTTTCTTGTAATAATAACAGATTTTCAAATTGTTTTAATCATAATTTTCTTCTACCACATTTCACATCTGAATCTCACCAGGACAACAACCCTACCATACAATAATAATCACTTGGACTGTGGTTAAACAGATGTTATACACACATTTTATACAAGGACTAGTCCTTCTGAATCTGACCAGGACAACAACCCTACCATACAATAATAATCACTTGAACTTTGGTTAAACAGATGTTATACACACATTTTATACAAGGACTAGTCCTTCTGAATCTGACCAGGACAACAACCCTACCATACAATAATAATCACTTGGACTTTGGTTAAACAGATGTTATACACACATTTTATACAAGGACTAGTCCTTCTGAATCTCACCAGGACAACAACCCTACCATACAATAATAATCACTTGAACTTTGGTTAAACAGATGTTATACACACATTTTATACAAGGACTAGTCCTTCTGAATCTGACCAGGACAACAACCCTACCATACAATAATAATCACTTGAACTTTGGTTAAACAGATGTTATACACACATTTTATACGAGGACTAGTCCTTCTGAATCTGACCAGGACAACAACCCTACCATACAATAATAATCACTTGAACTTTGGTTAAACAGATGTTATACACACATTTTATACAAGGACTAGTCCTTCTGAATCTGACCAGGACAACAACCCTACCATACAATAATAAT